TCTCAATTCAGGGTCATGATCTTAGTGGCAGTGCCTGCCAGTGCCAAGGCTGCTGTGAAATAAAAAAAAGTTGTCGCCTTTGCCTCCCACATTGTGCAAGGGGCGGGTGAGGGTGACAGTGTTAGTTTTGCATGGAAAACAGAGTGCGATGTAGGAAGAGAAAGCAGTCACTAGAAGTAGAAGAAGATGTCAGAAGGGTCGTGATCGATGGGTATTTTCAAAGAAGGATTTGTAAAACATTGATGGGACTTAAGAGCTCTTCTCTATCCAGCCATCTATCAATCTATCTATCTATCTCATGTCTCAGCAAGAAGCCGATAGATCAAGGCCTTTCATGCTTTACAGATATACACAGGTGACACATGTGACTGATGTCTCTCTCTTCTTCTCTCCTTATACCATTCGGAATTTGCATGCGTGGGAATCGATGTGTGTGTGTTGTACAAGTATATTGTCATTTCAGGGAAGATTCTAATTAGACATATTTAGTGATTAATTATGTTATGTATAATGCATGTATGCTGAATAAGATACTTAAATTTGGATTAATTTTTCAGTGTGAGTGATCGACCTATAACTAATCCACTTATATTATAATACATGTATATGTTTGTTAATAATATATTATCAACTATGTCGTTTATAACATGTGAATCAATAAAACCCGTGTGGTGTGATTATATTCATACATTAGAAAGTTATAGAGATATATTTTTTTCTAGTTAGACTTCTATCAATGAAATGAATGAAGAACCATCCCTTCCTATATATGAAATAACACAACAAAATTGAAATGTCTCCTAATTTCACGTAGCTCTTTGAATGAGCTTGAGAACTCAAATGAAACAAACCAAAACGCCCATCTTCATAAACTACAAACACTTGACTCTTCTTCTGTTTGTTTTTCAATTCACCTTGACCATTTCTTTTTTCTTTTTTTAATGGTAAATTGGAAATTCTAGTTTCATGCAAGCCACAGTCTAATTATTTAACATCCTGCTTTATAATTGCAGCAGAAGCGATCAGTGTCCAGTGATGTGTCATTTTGATGTGCCACAATAAAACTTGACGACCTACCCTCAATAGGCTGATCAATCACCCATTTTAGGCAAGCCAAACCCTAGATATGTGTGCACCCACATATTTTTACAAATTTGAGTTTTCCATGAACTTTTGGGTTCTTCTCTAGAAAGAAAGGGGAAAAGCAGTCAAGGCCTGCCAGGTGTTGATGCGTTGAAAATGCCAGAAGTGTCGCTTCAATTCATCACAAGAAGCGGATGCATGCATGCAGGGTGCGGGTTGGGATAATTCTTCTCAATTTTCTTTTGTGTTGGTCCTCTACTCCACATGATTTTATTAAAGGTGTACATGTTGACGTCCACATGGCTTCTATGAAGCTTGAAGGCGGGGGTGATCCAACTCCCACAACTCCTTCTTCAACTGCTGTCACCCACCTTAGAGGCTCAACAAAAATGGATGAACATTATCCTCAGACAAGTCGGAACATGAATTTTTCAACGAATGGACTAGCTAAAGAGTTATTACCTTAAAATTTAATGATATTTTTGTTTACTTCCAGTTTCTGTAGTCTTTCTAGAAATAAAAGTATACATTAAATCATATAAATCACACTAATTCATAATTTTATTGACTAATTTTCAAAAAGCTTTTTTCTTTTTATACAAGCGATATTTGTGGAGAGGGGAATCAGACGTAGGACCTCTAGTGCATGGCTAAATACTAATTTCCAATAAGATTTAACATAAGCCAAATGCATATTAATGAAACCAAAAAGCACATATTATAGAATAAAAATAGGCTAGACAACATAATTGAAAATGTACCTAATTTAATGTGTATTTTTATTGATATCTTGCAACTAAACTCATAAAGAATTGAACTTTTTTTGGACTAGTAATAGGTTAATACATATTGGCCTATGTTTAAAACAAGTCAAATATATAGGTTTGATTTTGTTAATCCCTAAAACTTCCCCTAGGCTACATCCCACCTTAGTCATTAAGGTATTTCCGCCCATGGCCGCTCAAACGATTTCTCACCCCCGCCTTGAATGTGATCCACAACATTGTCCTGCAATGCAAACAATTCTTCGGCATTTCTTGCAGCGGAATGCTGGTGCACCAGTTTTGACTCCATTTTGAGTTGTTTTTACTCCAGAGGCAACTTCACTAGGGAACTCAGGATCTGCCCCAAATTTAGAACTGTCTATTTTATCCCCACGATGATAAGATTCACCCAATACTTTCAGGCGAAAAGACTTATATATGGGGCTGGCACGATCGACCTTGAAGCCCATTTCCTCGTACATTTTGAGCTGATCTAGAAAACCATCATTGGGGCAAACAATGTCACAGCTTTGCCTCAGGGATCCTAGTGCATCTTCTTGTGATAAATGTTCTGTTCTCATCAGATATGCTGTAATGATAGATGCACTTCTGGAAACACCAGCAAAACAATGCACCAAAACAGAACCCTTTTTTCTACTTTCATCAATAAAATCCACACACACATCCAAATAATCCAATAAATTCTCATCGTCCATATCTCTTAGCGGAACCCCCATCCTCACCAGCTTCAAATCCTTGCCTGCACGTTCCAACGAGTAGGAAAGCTTATCGGAAAGCAAACAACTTTTCGACCCATCACCAACATAAGCTGATCCACCAACAGACCCGCCATCATAGACCTTCTTGCTTTCCTTTGTGGGAATTGCACAGAGAATATGTGTGATCTCTTTGCTGCCATTTCGGATAACCTCTGCTGCATCGCCGATGTTGCCGAGGAATAGATTCTCACGAACAAGATACGGCATGACCACTGAAAAAGATTTGATGTTACCCTAAACCCAAGATTATCAAAGCAAGAAAAGTCGAACAATATGCGGCAAAATTTAAGATTGTATTCTTCCCACAATAAGGTATATATAGGAATTTACAAGTGTACTTCATAAGGAAATAGATACCGAAACTAATTAGGAGAATATCTCCTAATTATACAAGGATGTGTTAACCATATAAAGTAAGGAAGTAAATCACCTAATTAACTTAGGAAATAAATCTCCTTGATTTAGTAGGTTAACTCACATCAACAGTACTAAAGCTTGAAACCCAAACAGTGAACAAATCCGACACTTCAAAGACTAAACCAAACGTTTCACTTTCAAGTTAGAGAAGCAATGAAAACGTGGAATTGAATTTGAAAGCATTATAGCATATAAACGTCAGACAATCGACTTATTACATATAAAACTACATCAGAGTCAATTTCTTGAAAATTCAATTCACCCCTCATACAATTGTCTTTATTATTATTCTTATTATTCTTATTATTATACAAGTGATATTCTACTCTCTTTTTTAATAGATAGTAAGTGCAACAATTTTATTTTTATTTTTTATACAAGCGATAATCTAATTAATCTAAACTATTGGTGAGGGGGATTTGAATTCGGGTGTAGAGTGAGGAGCACATTCACTCTAGTCAACTTAGCTAAGCCCACTTCATCTACTATATTTGTCTTGTTTATAGACTGAAATTCGATAATCATTCGTTGTACAATATTAATTAGTTTGTTGATTGTGGGGGAAAATATGGATTCTTATGTTACCTTAGCTAATTAAGTCCATTCATCTCTCCACATTAATGATTTGCTTTGCCTTAAAACAACAACAAGAACCACCAAAGTAAACCCTACGTATGCATGCGTGGTATCGTTGATCATATTTCAATCAATTTAATATTGGTCATAATTTAAGCAGAATTTAATATGAAAAAGTATGAAAATTAAGTTTCCTAAGCTTCTCGATCTCGAATCGTACTTCTTTGATCACAGAGCATCAAAAGATATGCATATGCACCGCAAATCATGACCTTTTTTGTTCCGTGATCAAGGCAGTATATATATTTAAACCAGATTCACCAAACTCATTTTTGGTCCTCTGTTCTTGGAGTGTTCCCCCCGTTACCACAAAAATCTGGCTAATTGCGTATATAAAATATGATTACTTGGTAAATAATATCATCCACGATTACGAAAGAGAGAGATGTTGAAGCAACCAATCAGCAAGTGACAGACCAGGGTCCCCATGAGTGTTTGTTCCCCAGATTTTAATTAAAATACAAAGCAAGTCACAAGGACAAGCACAATTAAATTTTTACACTATATTGTACTTATGTACGAGTCATCTAAATGTCTCACAACAATTTCAGTATGGTAATCATTGTCATGATTAATTGTCAAGTAAGTAATTTATTAAGAAGCTGAGGTGTTACGGCGGCCCCACACCCGACATAGCATGGTTTGCAGACGAGACGACTTTTGGAAAAGATGAGTAACCTTAACTTCATCTTTTTGATTTCGATATCCAACTACTATGAATCATGAATGTTAAGACTTGCAGACTTTTGGTCACTTCTCTATAATTTTGGTGTTCCTACCTTCTTATTATGCGGCCTGTAATCTCAGATAACTGGGTACCATCCATGCGTGCATGTTGTCACAATCTTATATGTACAAGATGATATTGGCCGTCAAATTAATGTCTTTATTCTGAGAGATTAATTAGGTGAGTGATTTAAGGAAGTATTTTTGTTCACCACTTCAATTCAAGGTGTATTCTCGAGAAACTCAAGGACAGCAAAACAAAACTATCAAACGAAGAAGCGACATGTGTCGTTGTGCTGTCTTCCTATGCTGACATGGATTTTGAGCTGTCGCAAAAGCACAGAGAATTATTATGACTTCTTTTTAGTGCTTCCAATCTTCTCAGTTAAGGATATTTATCCAATGGTTGTTCTGGGTCTTTCATGAAGCCCATTTTGGAACCTAAACAAAGTGATGAGGGGCATACATGGTAAATCACATAATTAAATAAAGGTGACACCTCTAATAATTGAAGTGATTGCTCAATTATTAATTCAGCAGTATATCCAAATCTCACAAGTATTTAAAACCCCTTCATTTGGAACTTCTTCTACCAACCGAATTTAAAAACCACATTTCTCTGCCACAAGCAATATCTCAAGTCCTTCTTCTTCCACTCGCATCTCTTCTCTTCCACATAATAACATGGCCAAACTAGCATCAACAAATCTTGTGCAAGATTCAATGAAACCCTACAAACCCAAAGAATATTACCCTAAAAATGCCAAGGGCATGTCCTTCTTGGCCTTTTTCTTCTCCATATGTATTTACATTTCCATCTTCTACATCTTCAACCTCTCTCTCTCCACTCTCTTCCGCAACACCAAGTTCTGGTTTGCCATATCCAACACTCTCATCCTCATCATTGCAGCTGACTACGGCGCCTTCTCTTCCTCCAAAGACAATAAACAAGACCAACATCTTTCCCAAGAGTACATGATCCACCGCCAAGCTCGAAGTGTTTCCTCATTTGTTTCTCAATACCCTGAAATAGCTTTCAAGAAAAGCAGCTGTCCCAATAAGCAATCAGAGGTGGAGGTGGACGACATGAGAGCAAAGAATGAAGAAGTGGCAGACACTCAAAATAAAGTTGTCCAAGAAAAGAGTGTCGTCCACGTGTCGAAAGGCGATGATCAGAACAAAGGTTGCGACAGAGAAAATGTTGCAGCAAAAACTTACCAGCGAAGTAAGTCTGAGAAAACAAAGACAAAGAGAGCTGTGATCGATGAGAGGAAGAAGGATATTTTGAGGAGGTCAGATGATGAGAAGAAGTACGAGCCAAATACTGTTGAAGACAATGAATTTTCGGTCTTGTCAGATGAAGAACTAAACAGGAGAGTTGAAGAATTTATTCAGAGGTTTAACAAGCAGATTAGGCGTCAATCAGCAGCTACAAATTAAAGTTCCACCAAGTCTCTAGAAGTTAATGTTCCATGCATATATGGAATATGAAAGAGAGTTCATCTTCCAAAAATTTTGTTTTTGTTTTTGTTTTTTTGTTTTAGCTCTCAAATAAATATGTAAATACTCTGGACTTCATGTTTAGTATGAATATTTTCAATCAAAGTAGTTTTTGTATGCATGAATGTGTAATTTATTCTGAAATCTCCTTTTTTCTTCTAAATATGCTGTCGTCTTGATGCATTTTAATTAGTTAGGTAAATACTATTTTGTTATTCATGATCAATATTACAATGACACGTGTCACACATATTATTACGCTATAATTGAGAATAACAAAAATTAATTAGTATCCCCGTTGAATGAAAGTATGAATGAGCTGCCAGAATATGAGTTGTAGGCTAAAATTGAATGGAACAGAAACTCGCCATCACCAAAATCACTGATGTGATTTTAGTGGGATCTCTTCCTTTTGCAATCTTCCACAATTCTTTTTTTTTTTTTTTTGTCTGAACCACGAGGTAGTCCTGGATGGGCCCCAATTATGGGTGGCACCTTTAAGCCTTAACCACAACCCAGACTAATCCCCGCTCACACCGGGTCGGCCCATAAGGGGTAAAGTGTTGGCCAAAGTGGTGACTCTATACGAGAGCGGAGATCAAACTCCTAACCTCTCTTAAGGAATGAGAGTGTCGAACCACTCACACCATCTTCCACAATTCTTTCATAATCTATAAAGAACTTCCTTTTCTCTGATGTAATTTTCATTTAGCTTTTTTGATTAGCGTAATATAAGTAAACATATATATAAATAAAAGATAATTGAAGACAAGCCACAAACATGGGTGATAATTGCAAATATAAAATTTTAAACTTTGGTCGACAAATCAATCAAAAATCTATAAAGGCCCAAAGCCACGTTAAACCACAAACAACCACAAACCAAAAGGGGGCATTTTTGCTCACCACTTTAACCATAGGTGTATCCTCACCACCATCCTCAATGCTTGACACGTATCCATAGGTATAATCATGATTCCATAAATACAAAGCAAAAGTTAACTATGGTTATGTCTATGGATATGTGTCAAGCATTGAGGATGGTGGTGAGGATACACCTATGGTTAGAGTGGTGAGCAAAAATGCTCCCCAAACGAAAAAGAAGCTTAAAATAATTATCCTTTTTTAAATACATTTTATAGGTTCACCATGGAAGGAATTGACACGTAGCATAGTGCCCAAATCTTCTAAGTAGTTTCAAGAATTTGATCAATACACCCATCATCATACATCCAAAGCCCGTTTGACCCAAATTCAGCTTTGACTTTCTTTAAATGGATCTAACCCGGCCCATTGAACAAAAACATTTTTCTGAATTAATATTTTTTTCTTTTTCAAAAGGAAAATAAGCTCAAATATGAAAATTGTCTGCAAACGTTTCGTTGTGAAGCACATAGACATCCTTATTTATCCCAAAATTAAAAAACAAAAATAAAAAATCAGTTAAAATACCCGGGAAAGAGAGAGAGAGAGAGAGAGAGAGAGAGATGGTGGTGTTGGGTTCTCTTAGCCAAATCAAGCCTTCTCCAATACGAACCAACTCTTCTTCTTCTTCCTCAAACCCTTCACAGAAGGGTCTTCTTCTCACAAGGAGAAGAGCCACAGTGCTTGGTCCAAGTTTTGTGGTGGCTTCTTTGCTCCATTTCAATAACCCCATTTCCCCACAACCTTCATCTCACCTTGCACTTGCTCAGCAGCAACAAGAAGATGAGCTTCAGCAAGAAGAGGACCGCTCTGTGCATCTCTTCCAGGTCTCTCTCTCTCTCTCTCTCTCTCTCTCTAATTGACACATTTTTCATGGTTTTCTCTAAATTGAGAGCTCCTTTTTTAGGAGAATTGTTGATATTATGCAGAGATTGCAATTGGGTCACAGAGAGGCCTGCATTATTTGTTACTCATATGATCTTGATCTCTTTACCTTTTCCTAATCTGATACTTTTTGCATCAATCTGCTGCTCAAAATTCATTTTTCTATAATGTGTGGGTAATGTGTTTGTTCGTAGGAAACGTCTCCATCAGTTGTTTTTATTAAAGACCTTGAAATAGACAAAAGCCTCAAGGCCTCTCCTGATGCCGTCTTCCTAAGTGAGGATGGAAATTCCAAAGTTGAAGGAACAGGTTCAGGCTTCATTTGGGATAAGTTCGGTCACATTGTAAGCATACCCATCTTCTGCTTCTCCATCTGAACTTAACTTTAGATTCTATGTGCAAGCGAGTTATAGTATTTTAGTTTATGAATCCTTACATCCACGGTACTGAAATTAGTCAATCCTTTGTCTCTCCAGGTCACAAATTACCACGTTGTGGCTAAATTGGCCACAGACCAAACCGGATTACAGCGTTGTAAGGTTTTGTCCTTTTTATTCGATTTAAAAGCCTTGTAATAGTTTTTTTTAAAACTTTTGTTTTGACTGATATTGAATTTTTTAGTTTGGAGCCCAAGTCATTCGTCTGAATTTTCAAAGTTTCTTTCGTGTCCTTCTTTATAGGTTTATCTTGTAGATGCAAGAGGCAATGGTTTTTACAGTGAAGGCAAGATTGTTGGTGTGGATCCAGCCTATGATCTGGCTGTTCTAAAGGTATTTATTCTCTTGGTCGTTGCTCTTCTTAGTTCCTTATTGTTGTAACTTGTATGCTGATAACTTCCAGCCGCTGTATCATAATCTACCAAAGACTTTTCGTATATGACTGGAACCACGTAATATGCGTAAGATACTGAGAAATCATTGTATTGATATCAATCTCATTTCTTAAAATCATGTTAACTAATGCACCATGTCCATATTCATTCATTATTTGCATAAAGAAGAGCAATTTGAAATAAGGAACTTCCCAGGCAAAATTTCAGTTTTCTCTCCTACTGCATTCATTAAACTATCAAGTACATGTGAGTGTCTTTATTTTGGCTATGAAGTGTTGGAGATTCTTAGCCTAATACCATGTGCAGGTTGATGTTGAAGGACATGAGTTAAAACCGGTTGTTCTTGGCACATCTAATGGTTTACATGTGGGTCAGAGCTGCTTTGCCATTGGGAATCCTTATGGATACGAGAACACTCTAACAATGGGGGTAACCTTTCTAATATCACTACCTACACTTCATTTTTAGAGTGTTTTAATGTTTTGATCAATTTCGAATGATATTTCCTTATGTCAATAACAAGAGGGAGCAAAATGTCAAACTATTAGATGGTTTACATTTAACTAGTTTCCTTTCCTAATACTAAAAAAAATATCTTAGTTTCTTTGTCGAATGTGTTATGGTCTGATGGGTACTTTGGATATTGCAGGTGGTCAGTGGATTAGGCAGGGAGATACCCTCACCAGATGGAAAGGCCATTAGAGGAGCTATTCAAACAGACGCTGCCATTAACGCTGGTAACATTTTCAATTTGCATAAACTTTCACTCATTTTCTTATAATGTCAAAGTTTTCAGCCTCATATATGTTAGAATTTCTGCAGGGAATTCAGGTGGGCCGTTGATTGATTCATATGGTCATATTATTGGAATTAACACAGCAACTTTCACTCGCAAAGGTAAAGCATGCTCTTTCATTTGTATTATCAAATATTCCTCGAATGAGCTCTAAACTAGTTGGCAGCACCACCCCAGGAGAGAGATTTTGAATCCCAAGTTCTATTACCCTATTCAGAAGGCTGGAACTTGGAACCTAACAAAATTTTTAACCAGCAAAACATATCCGAACTATAAAACGTAGTCAAAGCTTCAAACCTTTTCATGAAAACACTGGAAGCTAACTTACTTACGGCTTTTAAATGCTTATATTTTCTCTCCATATTTTGCAGGAACAGGAGCATCATCTGGTGTTAACTTTGCAATACCAATTGACACTGTTGTGCGAACTGTACCATACCTTATTGTGTATGGAACACCGTACCGTGACAGGTTTTGATCGATTTACCATTGTATCTAAAACATATCCCTCATATCCGATATGTCTCTTGGGAAAAAAAGCTGTATAAATTTCATAGAACCCTATCCAATTTCTAAATGAATATTGATTTTGATGGATTGTGAAGAAACATACATGATAACCTCACACAAGATCTGGTTAACTTTTCCAATGCACCATGGTGCTGCCAAAATTTCCTTTGTCATGCTTTAACAGAAAACTATGTCATTTCCATATGAACTTCACCACATCATGCAGAAAACCTTTTAACCATAGTTGTACCAGAACAAGAAAAGAAGTCTCTAAATCTATAATATCATCCCCCACTTGTAAAGTTTTGTTCATGATTGTTCAAAAGCATCATATTGTGTTAAACACAGAATTTAACTATGATGACAAGCAAGAATCATAACACTCAACTAGTGGCAGATATCTCAAATTCGAAGAATGCCTGCCAATTTGGTCAAGAATTATAAAAGCACTATGTGGCAAACTATTGATCCAGTAACTCCACCTGAATTCTTAGATGCACGAACATCTACGAAAGAAACATCGAATTCATGGGTAGCCACACAATGCTCACAAACAATCTGACATGAATGAAGCTTGTATGAAAGCTAAAAACAACATAGGATTGCAAAACAGCTTTAATATTATTCATAAAATCAAACATACATGAGTATCAAACACTTGTTCTAGATATCCCAACAGCAACAGGACCCTAATATGTCTTGTTATCTTCCTAGAATGAAAGCAGAGACAATTGTTCTTCAACAGAGCAACCAACATGACAAGAGACACGGCAAGAAGAAGGGATAAGAATGAGACCGAGGAACCGCTGCTCCATCGGAGAAGGCGAAGACCGCCGCGTGCTACGATACTCCACTGCATCTTGAAGAATAATGTTTCCTTGTTTGTCAATGCAGTGAAAATTTCCCAAGAAAAACCGCCCATCTCTTATCCCCACTAGCATCCGCCGAAACAGCAATTTCCTTGCCCGGTTCACAGCCTCCGACTCGTCTGGCCCCTTCGGGTTCGACCCATCGGAGCTCGCCGCCTGAACCAGTGTCTCCGCCGCTTCTTGTTCCATGTTCGTAGTGCGTTTGCGTTTGCGTTTGAGTTCGCAGATGCTTGATGAAATTCGTAATAAGCCCAGATGGATGAACTTTTTAGTTTTGTGCCCAAATAGTATAAAACTCGAAATAAAAATAAAAGACAATCTTACTGTTGAACTGAAAATACTAAAGTACCCATATGTTGGCAATCCCTGTGGGGGTTGGTCTTTGGATTGGAAAATACTGACTTCCTAGAAACACATGTATTTGTCAATAAGAGTATCAATGTGCGTAGAAGTTTTTCTTTTGGTTATGTTTTTGATGAATTATTTTTGTACATTCGTCAAACTCTGATTTGCATTTGCAATTACGAGGAGTATGATATGATATGTGTATGGAAGTTTTTCTTTTTGCTTTTTTGAAGAATTATTTTTATACATTTATCAAATTGTGATTTATAACAAGGAGGAGTATCTCCTTCTATGGAATTATTTTATAAAAACGAATCTCTAAGTAAAGAATTATTTTTGCTCAAAATAGAAAAATTATTTGAAGGGAATTATTTTTTTAATAATTACCAAAAAGAGAATTTTAAAGGAGCAACTTGATGGCAAAGTCGTCTAAAGATGACGCACTCCGTCATCAGAACCATCTAACCGTTCCTTTCCTATTCCTACGTCAAATATTTAATTAGAGAAAATAAAAAGCAAAAACAAAAACCTAAGGAATCTAAAACTTGACTGCTTCAAGAATCCAAAAGGCTTCAGAGGCCTCTACCTCTCTGTCTTGGGCAAACTTATCTGATTATAAGGTACGTTTTCCGACTAGGGTTTGTGTTTACCATTGGATTAGCCGCTTCATCATCTACTTCTGATTTTCTTGGAAGGTTTTTCCTTTTTCTCTGTAAAAATACCCCTACTTTAAAAATGGAAGACGACCCAATTTTTTTTTTTTCCTTATGGTGCACATAAGGCCAAAGGGGATTGGGAGATTCACACTCTGACATTGGTTGTGGGATAAATTCACATAAACCACTGCAGCTAGAAAACCCCCCACGAATGAATGAAAATCAATATTGTTCTTACTTGACTTGCCACTATTGTTGTATGGTAATTAGTGGTCTTCAATTAATTATAGGAGAGTGCTTAAGTTTGTTTTGTGTTGTAGTTTCAGGAGGAAAATCAATTGAGAGGAATAATGGGTGAAACGGGTAAGCGTTATCGTTCTCAGAGAGACCATGATGGGGGCAACAAGAACCAAAAGAGGCGTTTTAATGACAGAGAGGAAAAGGGTAGTGATGAAATGGTTGTTTATAGGATTCTATGCCCTGATGGTGTTATTGGAAGTGTTATTGGTAAGAGTGGGAAAGTGATAAATACAATAAGGCAAGATACTAGAGCGAAAATCAAGGTTGTGGATCCATTTCCGGGTGCTAAAGATAGGGTTATAAATATATACAGCTATGTTAAGGATAAGGAAGAAGTCGAAGTTGATGATGAGTTCAGTGATAGGGAACCTCTGTGTGCTGCCCAGGATGCTCTTCTTAGAGTTCATACTGCCATTTCAAATGCATTGGCGTCTGTTGGAGATTCTGACAAGAAACGGAGAGATAGTAGGGAAGACTGTCAAATCCTTGTTCCTTCTAGCCAGTCTGCAAATATAATAGGTAAGGCTGGTTCAACTATAAAGAAACTGAGAAGCAAGACGAGGACCAACATTAAGATTGTTGCAAAAGATGCCACTGACCCAACACATTCATGCGCTATGGACTTTGACAATTTTCTTATGGTTAGTATGTGTTATTAAATAAGAATAATTCCTGCATGTTTCAGTTTTGCTTTTGATTTTGGTCATAAAAACATTTAGGAATGTGGCTTTTACAATTTTGCTTTTGCTTTTGAAAGTTGGCACTTCCATTCGAATGTTGGGTTGTCGGTACAGTACCTCTTTAGTTATGAGCCATATCGTTGATTCTTGCCTTGGATATGGCTCTTTTCCCGAATCGTGATAATTTTTTCTTTTGTTCATGAAATACTTTTATTGGATACCGGAGAATGAACAGTCTCTAGGGACTCTACAACATATAGAGAAATTGTGTAGTTGTTTGAAAATTTTACTTTGAAGATCCTTAATAGTTGTGTTAAATGGACCTTCTTTGTGCATAGAATGTAATAGATGTGAGAATGTGAAGGTGACAATGTCCCACATTGGAAAGTTGAGAAATCTAGCGAGGGCTTATAAGGTGTTGGCTACTCCTCCCATTGCCAATTGGTTTTGGGGTGGAACCTCAACTTTCCAATGTGGGACATTGTCACCTTCACATTCTCACAATAGATTCGTTATTTTATAGTTGTCAATTTTCTCCAGAGGTTTCACTTTCCTGTTTAGTTAACTTCTTATTTGGTAATGTTTTTGTGTTAAGATTTCCTTTCCCTTTGTAAACAGATAAATGGAGAATCCGAAGCAGTGAAAAGAGCATTGTTTGCAGTCTCTGCAATTATGTACAAGTTTGCTCCGAGGGAAGAGATTCCTCTTGAGACATCAGTACCAGAAGCCCCTCCAAGCATAATTATACCATCAGATGTCTCTATTTATCAATCAGGTGGACTATATCAAAGTGCAGATCCTATCGTCCCTTCTAGATCTGTACCTCCAATTATAGGTGCTACACATGTACAAGATCTTCAGGGTTACGCGGATACAGGGAATACATGGCCTATATATTCATCTGCCCTTCCTTTAGTTTCTGGTTTCAGTGTTGCCTCCCGATCTTCCCGATCTGAGGAGTTAGTTGTGCGAGTACTGTGTCCTTTTGACAAAATTGGTCGTGTAATTGGCAAGGGTGGGGGCACAATTAAAATCATTAGGCAGGCAAGTGGCGCTCGTGTCGAGGTTGATGATACCAAGGACCGTGATGAGTGTATAATTACTGTTGCCGCAACAGAGGTATGACTGTGACAAGTGTATTATTACTATTGTTGCAATAGAGGTATGACTATGATGGCATGATGACAAGGACGGGTATACTCATCCTTTATGTTTTGGTAGACTTTATAAAGTACAAAAGTTGGGGAGAGTACTGTATAAATCCATTTGCCACTAAATTCAGTATTTTGCTTATGCTAGATGTACTACTGATGCGTTTGCATAGTATTTCCTAGGACAAAATTACTTTTCGTCCTGGAAGTTCAATCAAATCCAATATTTTACTTCCTTAAGCTGCGGGTTTATGCAGATGTTAGCAATGCCAAGATCTTTTTGTGAGCATGTGCTCTTGTTTATTTACTGTTATGATGTCAAAAATGGATTTGGTTCTGAGAAAGACTCATTCTTATCCATTCCTCTGCATTTAACATTAATGCTGGATTTGTCACTAAAATTTCATGATCAACATTGTGTTGGGTGATTAAGTTGTGAATCATCTTGACTAGCATTATCCATAGATCACACATATGTCTGTGCTTGGTATTCATGTTCTAGTACATGTTGATCATGTTGGGTTTATTGTCTGGCAGTCGCCCGATGATCTGAAATCCATGGCAGTTGAAGCTGTTCTGTTGCTGCAAGGGAAGATAAATGATGAAGATGATGACTCTGTTTCTATTCGACTTCTTGTTCCATCTAAAGTTATTGGTTGTATTATTGGAAAAAGTGGTTCAATTATAAATGAAATCAGAAAGAGAACAAAAGCTGACGTCCGTATTTCAAAAGCTGACAAGCCTAAATGTGCTGATGCTAATGACGAACTTGTTGAGGTTGGTTTTAAATAAATACGTCTCAGCTCTGCACGTACCTAGAAATTTTTTGTATCTCCAACTCCACTATTTCCATTTTTTTTTTTCTTGATTCTGATTGATTGCTTGGTACCTGCAAAACGAAATGAACCCTAATTTTGCACCTGTTCCTGTTTTTGGAGGTTCAATGGTCGGCTTCGGTTGGAAGCATTCTTCCTTGAGCTTTATGGTTCACTCTTTTCTTGTTGATCACCTCTTTATTATTATTATAATTAATTTTCCTAATTTAGGTGGCAGGAGAACCCAGTAGTTTGAGGGATGCACTTATTCAGATTGTTCTGAGGCTCCGGGACGATGTCTTAAAGGATAGAGATGGTGGTCATAACCCCTCTGGTGGTGCTGAATCCCTGTACTCCGGTGGCACTGGACTCTCAATGCCATCTGTCCTGCCTTCTGTCCCTCCAGTTACTTCATTGGGTTATGATCAAAGGGCTGAAAGTGGAAGTGGCTTGGGCATGCTTTCTTCTGGTAGCCTCTATGGATATGGATCTATGTCGGTATGTCAATTTTAGTCATTTATTTTGGAATTGAATAAATATCGTAAATAAATCTCTGATAGTACTTGCTTGATTTTTCTATTTTAGATGGGAGAAAATGGCTATGGATCCATGTCTTCTTATTCATCCAAGTTATATGGAGGGTCAGCATATTAAGTTTTTTTCTATCTTGTTGTGAAGCTTGCCTTTTTTGGTTTCTATTCTAGCACCCTTACACTACTTTTCAATAACATGCCTCTATGCAGGTTGCCACCCCCTTCAACACTTGAGATGTTAGTTCCTGCTAATGCAGTTGGTAAGGTGCTGGGCAAAGGAGGGGCAAATATAGCCAATATTCGGAAGGTGAGAGAATCTTTCCATTTTAGGATCTACATCTACTGGTTGTTTATTGTTTGGAGATGGATCAACATGGAAAATCTAGGTTGTTTCTACCTGAACATATTCAGATTGCGTCTTTGATGTCATTCCCATGTATATTTGTTTCTCCTACAGATATCAGGAGCAATGATAGAGATCTCTGACTCCAAATCTTCCCGGGGTGATCGTATTGCTCATATATCTGGCACACCTGAACAGAAGCGTACGGCAGAGAACTTGATTCAGGCATTTATAATGGCCCCCTAACTTCCTAGGGTGCTTCTTGCTGTTTAAAGGTGAATAGTCCCTTAAGCTAATATATGTCTGGTGCGTACAGCAGAGAATCTTGGGCATTTCTCTCTCATCCTATCCTAGTCCTTTAGGTTTGGTTTTGGAGAAGGCTTCTTTTCTAGGCTTATTCAACTTGACTCTTCCTGATTTTCCCACTAAAGCGGGTATTGAGACTGAGCCAGAGATTCACTGCAGGGTTTATGCTTAGGCATGTAGCCTTCTGTCTGTCGCCGAATCTATTCTTAATCTACAATATTAGTTCCTTTCTTTCCTGTCACATCACTTCATCTGGTTCTTATCTTCGCTAATATAAAGTTCATCTAATTTTTCGGCATTGTCAC